AATACTTCCACCAATATTCCCAAGAAGTGAATATTTTTAGAGTTTACAAATGTTTAAAAAGCAAAAATCAAAAAAAAAATGAAAGGTTTACTCGATATTGTAGTACGGGCTCGTTGGCGTCGCAGAAGCTTTTGCAAATATCATAGAAGGTGAGATTCCTGACCGGGAATCCTTTGCCGACTCGATCGATCAGCGCGACTGTCTGATTAAGATGAGCCAAACGGTTCATCGAACCTCCATCTCGGGCAGTTATGATCACGTACAACAGCACCGGATCCAGTCCATCGTAGAATTGCAGATACGCCTGCATCTCGTCGAACGCTCTTGCGTGCACAGGTGTATAGCCTGTTTTGATATCATCGCGTTTCTCGGTGAACGGAATTCGTATCGAGAAAATTATCGAAAATATCAAAAATACCTGAAAATATTGCAGTTTCAGTTTTACATGTGTTTATCCTTGCAGCACTATACTTATGCTAATCTTATGTTGATCTATCTTCAAAGCACTGATCTTATAAGACGATAGAGTGAAAAGATTGGGCTCTGGAATGGAACATTCGATGAAAGCAACAGCTAATCAATGTATCATAATACAGGAAAACTACTGCAAAATATAAGACATCATTTGCAGTGGTGTCCTAGGACCTTGGCCATTCGTTGTTTAATCTCATTAATTTTTATAGTGACGGAAAAATTAATGAAACTAGGAAGAACATTGGAAGTTCACTGTGTTCGCGATAGAAATATGAAATTTGTTGTTGTTTCATTGCAATATGGTCGTAACTACCGAGATCATGCATTCGAAATGTCGTTAAATCTTTTCAATCTGATGCACAATAAGTGACTGCTTCAGCAACAAGTTTTTATCGAATCAAATGAGTCAAAGCAAGATATTGCCTGTGTGCTATATCATAGATCTTTGATGTCTACATGCTAAATGATACGTGAACACGAAAATAAATGAGCCAGAAAAATCAGTGAATGCGCAAATGATGATATGTGTGTGTGTTTTCATTGCGAGCAGAATCAATTTATTGCCTAGTTCACACGCTAATCCTGATTCACAGCGCAGTTTCAGCTTTAAACAACGCCGTCACTGCTGAATTCCACTAGTGGAGTTCAGTGAACATTTTGAATTTTTAACGCAGATTGTAATCACGCAGATGAAGGAATTTAATAAGCTTTGAAGGCATTCAATATGAAAATGCTTGTGATTCAGTGGAAACGATTCGAGTGGCAGTTATCATCTTAAGTCATTCATAAATACAATTCAAGATGAAACTCCTATTCTCACAGCTTCCAGTCACTGGAGGCTAAGATCTATGAGATTATGGTGGCTACGCTCGGATCTTCCGTTTTTTTGCACTCTCTGTTGACAGAATACCATGTGTCTGCTTATCGACTCACAGATCAGTTTCATATGTTGAGAAATCGTTTGTTATCCAACGGTGTCCGTTTATCATTCTCATTCGTAATGTTAAGTGATATCATCTCTTAAAAGATATTGTTTTCTCGGAAGCGAACTCTTGATTCGTAGAACAATCGGTTGTTTGGCGATCAGTTGATGAATGTTATCCAATAAAGAAAGTGATTTTAACAAATTAAAATCAATTAATCAAAGAACGCACAGACACTGAACGATTCGTTAAAGGTGGCGATATTTATGATTCATTGCCGAAAGTAAAGAGGACAACTGAGACGACCTGCTTGCGATGGATGAAAAACAAACACGTCCACATTATTTTGCGTTTTTCATGTCATCATTCAACAATAAATGCTTCACCGAATTACCTTCACCGAATTGACAACGAATTAATAGGTTTTCAAACGTTTTAACCGCTAAACAATGCGATGTGATCGATCACTCTGTTAATTTAATTAACAAAAGTAAACAATCGCTCTCAAATGTGCAGATATACTAATAACAAGTTAATAACTTTACTGCTCCAATGCACACCTCAATGAACTAGCAACATCTTTTCTCAAATGAAGCTATCGAGAAAAATCTCGATAACCTTTCCGGCTCATGCTTGTGTAGACTCAAAGAAATTTGTGAAAATTAGGCAGCTCAGCTTTTGCAAACGTTGGTATTGAATAATAAATTGGAATAGACAATAACACTCATGATAGTTTACAATATCATGATAGTGATATTGTACATTCAGTTTGTGATCATATGAGAACACAGTGGTTCGTTATTTTTGCAGAACAAACCGTATGGAGGATATTCTATTGTTTCGCTACTGTCCGCTCCGTCCTCAGCACTCATCAACAAATCCAATTTTTTGAATGCAATACTTTCGACTTTTGCAGGTATGCCCAAAGCAAACGAAAGTAGATGAAATTTAATGCATTTAAATGTATTAAATGCGAATGTTGCTGTTGTTACATGTATCAACGTCCAAAACTCACGGAAGTGCATATATTGAAATGCGAAAGTGCATGAAATTCGAATGTTGTTGCTGTTGTCTTCTACTATTCCAGGCATNATCGTAGAATGAATATCAAATATGAAAAATGGACGATTCTCGGCAGTGGGAATGTGACTTCTATTCAGGTTATCAAAGGATCCAATCATTCATAAATTCGTCTGTGTAAACTGCTCGATTTTCAGACTGCACTCGATCAGGTTATTTGACAAATTCAACTAAATGCTATGATTTATTAACAGGATCGAACAATATGCCAACAGTGAGAAACGAGCACTTTACTTGAATCATTCGGTTTGTTCGGCAGATGCAGTAGTAGGCGTTCTGTGAGAAAGTGCGTCATGAACGAATTTAACGAACAATTTAACGTTTTACTTCGCTAAACCAACACTGTTTTGCACACTGCTGCTGATGGGTTAATGTGTGATCTCAAAAAGTTTTGCATTCTGCAAACAAGAGCAGTGCGCAAGAGCACAATGCATAATTTCTTCAAGTACGATGATGGCTCTCATGTTCTTCCATCAGCGCACTACGAAAAGTTGTTGTTTTTTCAAAACGCATACGCATGAACATTCTTTAAAATGTCATGAAATTATTTCAATATTGATGTGTAACACAAATCAATTTGTACGGCTACTTGACACATATTGTGTGTAAACAAATTGATGAACAAATTTTATGTATCTATAATTGAATTACATCACAAAGTGTTTCAGTCGTATCCGATTTTACAGTGCATGTGCTTTTTGGTTTTTTTTTTGTGACACATGAATTCATTTTGATTTCTTCATCATCAGCACATTAATACTGAGTCTGTCTGTATTTGTATCGTTAAAGTATGTTCTCAAAAAAGTGATCAATTACTCGGCATTTGTAGCCACTTCCTGAGTGACTGAGGAGAGTCAACACCCACAATATCACATAATTATCAACATCGTTATCGTTCTTAAATCGCAGTGCACTTCATGAGGGTAGTAGTGTTTACTGAAATGTTCAAGAATCTCATGATATGTTGATACTTTAAATTGCTTTAAATTTAACTCTCTTTGACACTTCAAAGTGAATTTCCGCTGATAGGGTAACGATAAACTGAAAACACGCTTGTGAGAGCAATAGGGATGGAACACTTCTGCTTGTCACATTACACTCAATGATGGATGGGTGAAGTTCGAACTTGAAGAAGCAATTACGGGAATAACAAATTGCTAGCAATTGACGGTCGTCGACAACAAATCACGGATGTCAACGAAATTCAGTCGAAAATCACAATCGTGCTCGATGTTTATGAGATCTCACCTGTAGCGCATACCTATGGTTGTAGTAATTGTCGAGGAATTATTAAACTAGTGCATGTTCGGCAAATGCATTTGTTGACGTTTTCAATTCAACTGTTATGCTACCGTCGCCACCATCATGTGACAATTTGTCACAGAAAATAAATCAGTGGAGAAATTCGTCTAGAAATATGATTGATAGAGCTAGGTGATTCATATGGTTGTTCCTTGAGATGGTGAATATCATCGGAATTTAATGGATCGTTTCGATCGAATGCGAAATATCGAAACGATTGATCGAAATGCAAAAAGGAAAAAAAAACTGTACACAGAACGACACATCAGTGAACCGTAATATGATGATAAAATTCCAGTTCCGCCAAATACAATTTGAAGCTTTCTGAAAGGGTCTCTTTTCTTCGAAACATCATTCCGTGTGCATCTATCGATCATCGTTATCGGAATCGTATGCGCAATTTTATAGGTACTGATAGAAAGGAAATTTAAACGAGCTGAGAGACTCGAACGATATAAGTAGCTACATTCCAGATTGATCGTTCTGATCAAGTGTTGATGGAGTTAGGGAATCAACCGAAAATCTCACTTGCTTTGCGCGATTTTGCTTCTGTCAATATTCCTGTCAATACTTGGAAAATCTTTCGGATTTCTAGACAGTGTAATTTTGTCTACTCAAATGCTCAAAGAACCAAAAAAATGGAACTTAGGGAACATTGACGCTTAGACATCAACCCAGATAGTTACCGCTGTCCAGCTGGTTAGTTTGTTATTAGCATGCAACAAAGTGTTTCTAACAACTTTCTCCTTTTGTGCTAGCGTCACCTAAAAGCCAAATGAATCAGCGAACCGCGATGAGTAGCCAAAAATGAAATCTAGCAGTAAAGTTTAGTCGCTAAGAATGCGATCCGTACCATTCACGTGGAAGCAAATCATTGGAGTATTCGGAAATTAACGAATAATATCGTGTCCAGGGTATTGTGCAGTGCTAGAGAGGTGAGCTTTATGTGGTAAATGATCCACTCAGTGAATTCATTACCATTAGTACTTTGAGATTTTTTTTTTCTCGAACATTTATTTGAGACAGCACCGAATGATGGATAGCAGAGACGGTGATGTCGCGAAGTTTTGCTGACCGAACTGAGTGTGGTTCATGACAGCGAATCGCACAAATTCTTATTTGAGTCATCGAACTGCTATCGATTCACGATAAGTGGATCATATCGTTGCGTTCGTTTCATGCATAGGTGCTCAAAAATGTGATGAAATAATTCATGGACAAAAAGTTTTATCGATTCATCAAAAAATTTTTCTCGCTATATTACCGCACGTATCCGTTCCCCGAAATCAGTCTTCAGTTAATAATTTACGTAATCAAGAAACACATACAAAATGCTTTCTGGAGAGACACCAACCAGTAGAACATTACAACATTACAGAACATGTTTCCTCATCAACGGTTCACAAAAATTCTTTGAGCACAACGAAAAGGCATCATTCATCAACTTCATGACCACTTAATAGTGGTCATGAAGTTGATAAATTATGCTCATCGTTGACATCGTCATCATTATCACTTTGTTTAAGTCAATTGCGAACCTGTCAAAATGTCCATTAAAATCACTTGGAACCATTTAAAGTTTTTAGACAGCAGGAGGAATGACATGAATGTTTCAAAAACTACTTGATGCAATCGCAAAAAATTTGATGCAGTTTCATGCACTCAATTGTACTTCCGACTCACCACTTGACTAAATGATTATCAATTCAGCAGTGTTACGAGAATTATTGAAGTGTATTTATGCCCACTAGGAGTACGTCGAAACGGAAGTGCGCAATTAATCGAACATAATCTGTGACGGTCTTTGACTGATTGCACATCTTATCAATGTTAAATTTGAAAAATAAACTAAATGAGTGGTGAATGGTTGTACTT